TATCCCTAATACTCAGTAGGATAATTACTTAGCACAGGTTCTCAAATGAGTTTAGCTTTAATCTACTCTCTGTATATATGTATAGTTCCACTTAAGAAGCTAGTAGCTATATTTTTTGTATATAGTGTTTTGGTGTATACCTATAGCCTTCTTTGGGGATAGGTTCTGTCCCATTAGCAATCAGGACCCCTTAATGCATTCACAGTGGATTTAATTACTGTTAATCCACGAAACCCTAGATTATACAATTAAGGCTTAATTGTATAATACTAGGGCTTAATGAAGTGAAATTAACAATTATTACTTGTTTGGTTGTTTCTCTAGTAACGTCCTCCCAATGATGCCACGGAATGCGGTTCCACGTGGTGCGGTAAGGACGACGTTATGTGACGACATCACGTATGCACGCGCTGACGTCGGTGGAACCCGCGCGAGCCCCAGACTGGGCTGACAGGGAGTCGGTGTTGGGCGTGTGTGCGTGAATATATTGTGGAAGTTAGTCCTGATGAAGTTTGTGTGTAAAACTGAAATGTTGATTTTTATGTAAAGCTAAGATACATACATACACACACACACTCATTCAAAAGATTTGCACCCAGAAGATATGGAGCTGCAAAATATACATAAGTTCATACCTCAGATTACCCTTTTATTATGCCAAATAAAAAATAAAAAAGATACTAGAATTAAATGGTCTCGGAGCGCTAAATTGTATAATACAGAGTGTGTAAGGATAAACTAAATGTAACCTATACACTTTTAAAATGAGTGATTTACTCAATTGATATATATATATGATCCAGCTACAACACTTCGTGTTCCCTTCACCACACAATAAGAATAATCAGAATAAAAATAAGTATCGCTAAATATCGCTCCACTTCTTGATTTTTATTCTAAAAAATAAAAAAATTATAAAATTAAATTAGAAGAATGTGAGTGAGCTTCAGACAGACTATTCCCTGGACTGTTTGTTTTAGCAAAAAAAAAAAAAAAAAAAAAGGGAGTGGGGAGAAGAATCACTGATGACAGGTCTCCAAGTCTCCACTGCCTTGTTTCAAATAAAAACTGACTTTTAGAAGAAACCTCAGGTGTGCCTGGATATTTCTTTCTCTCCCCTGCGCCCCCCGCCCCCCCTCCCATTTATTCACTTTGTGCCCATTATAGGTGCAGGGTATATGCAAAATATATAGTGTTAAATATTTTGTGTGCTCTCCTGTACTGCTGATGATTACTACCAACTAGGACAATTTGACTATGGCACTTGTTTAGTGCCATCTGTTGGTAGCAACAGTTGTGTGCACAACCTGAATAGCAAGCTTTGGTACTTTGCATATTGAGGTAGATTTGCATTTTTGAATTCTGCAGGCATGAGTGATATTTTGTGTTCGTTATTGTCTTTCCCACCCCCTTTTTAAATATATTAGGCTATTATAAGTTCCTGTATATTTTCTGATATCATTTAGTTAATTGTATTTTATTGTGTTTGTCACAGCAAGGTTGATGTAATGAACTAGTCCGGAGTAAAAATAAAGAATGTTATGTTAGTTCATTTTGGATCTTGTGTTCTGTGTGGATTTTTAGGGATCCTAATAATAGTCTTTGGACCGGTTTGCTGGCTGTACGATCCTTCTAGCCCTGGGGAAAAAATAAATAAATAAAATCAATAGAGTTAGACCTAGGAGCCACAAGTGCCTTTATAAAGGCAATAGCAATCAAATTGCAGGCAGAGGTGGATACCTGCCTGGAGATGGGCTGCAGCAGAATACGCAGAGGGGATGACACTTGCGTGGAAGGAGAGCTACAGCTTGGTTGCGTGGAAAGCTCGAGAGAGACCCCATTCACTGGGGTTGAAGAGTTCCAGGCTCCCTCCCAAACGGCTATGAAGCGGATTGGACAGAGGTACTCGTTCGGAGTACAGGAGCTCAGCCATAGTGAGGCTGAGGATCTTGCCAATGTCAAGGAATATAGTCCTATTATTGGTTTATATTTTATTTTAAAAGTAATACTGCTCTTGAGCTCCTGAGAAATCCATTGCAAAAGCAAGATAGTTGTACTGTACCATTATTTAAGTCATGTTATTACACATTGGAACATTCATTTTAAAAAGGGAGTAGTGTCCAACATCTGCCAAGAATTGTTTTGTCTCTGTCTCTCTCTTAAAAATTGTAAAATAATAAACTAATAGGAGAGGGCAAACAGAAAATGTGTTGCTGCACAGAATATGCAACACTGTCTAAGTTAGCCAGCAGCTTCATTATTTGTACTAAGTCTAAAATATGCTGTCCAACCCACATAATAGACTATACAATATTTTATAATTAAACACATCATGTCCAATGATAAAAATATGCACAAAAATAAAGAAAAATTCCTCTGGATAAGCATGTGTCATTTTTATTTTCTCTGGGATTGTTAAAAGATTTTGTTGTAGAAGAAAAAGTAAAACATGACCTTTTACAAAGATTTTTATCTTAAAGCTTTTGGAAACTAATAAAATGAGATTATAAAATCTGTCATTTGCTTAACTTGTTAGGGTAATCCTTTAATATTTTGTGTACGCTGCACACCAAATTTAAAGAGATACTATAGTCACCAGAACAGCTACAGCTTAATGTTGTTCTGATGAGTATAGTCAGTCCCTGCAGGCTTTTTGCAGTAAACACAGCCTTTTCAAAGAAAATGCAGTGTTTACATAACAGCCTAGTGACACCTCTAGTGGCAACTTATCAGATGTTCACTAGAGGTGCTTTCTGGCTCTGCATGGAAATGCTGAGCTTTCTCCATAGAGATGCATTAATTCAACGAATCTCTATGAGAAGATGCTGATTTGGCAGGGCTGTGTTTGGCTTCAGCACCCACCTCCTTGGATAAGATCATCAGAATTGACAATCTCAACCAATCCAATGCATTCCTATGTGAAAGCATTGTGATTGGCTGAGATGATAAATTCTGATGATGTCAGCCAAGGAGTCTGGGAAGCGTGAGTGCCAGCGGCCGCACACATTGCTTGAAATAAGGTGAGTTTTCAAGTTATTCAAGGGAGTAAAAGGGGAGGGAATCATGTTTTGTTAACACTATAGGGTCAGGAGTACACTTTTGTGCTCCTGACCTTATAGTGTTCCTTTAAAGTTAGAATGACCCTAAACTAGACTGCTGAAATGAACCAGTTTAAGCATTAATAGAGGTTCATTACAACATTTGGGCACTGATGCTCAAATTAGACAGTTCAGTCGAATTCATTGCAGTACTTAAGTGACAAACAAGTACATTGGCATACGAATAATACATGCAAATCTTGTAAATGTTGGCAAAAGGGTTTTTTTTTGGATGACATATACACAGAGTTACAAAGAGTTTGTTATAGACAAAAGCAATGAATCGAAACACTCATCACCAAGTTCAGATAGCATTTAAAATGTTTGTGACAACATAAAATTCATTGTTCTGAAATAGATTGGGGAGAAGTTTAAACATGCATGCTAATATTCTGGAACTTTTAGCATGATTAGCATGAAAAAGCCTTGCTTTTTAGAGAAAGCAAGTAATGAAATTTACACAGAGCTATGCAAGAGAAAATAAAATTGTTCAATTTGCAAACAAAAACTTTTTATTACTCTTCATGGCTGCATTTTGTTTTTCAGCCAATCAGTAAAAAGGTGAATTAAAGCCATGGTCACTGACCAAAAATCGTGCAAGAAACACATAGGCTCTATCCAAGATGCATACTTTATTTAGAATCTGTTCCACTCTGAATAACATCTGCATCTTGGGAAGAGCCTTTGTGTGCCCGGATATATATTGTTCATTCTAGAATATACTGAAGGAGTTAAAGGTTCCCTTATCTGACTGGCACCACAGTGCTGCCCCATTTACCTGATTGGCGAGTGCCGTACCCAGTTTGGATTTCTGTGACCAAAAAAAACGAGAGGAGAATTAATGGCAGTCCTCTTGATTGTTATTATATGCAGATTTCCAACAGTAATATGTAAAAATAAGTATGTTTCACAACATTTACATGCATTTTTAAACTTCTATAAATGTACTTTCTTCAATAATCCAAACTTTCAATAAATCATTACTGTCCCTTTAAATTAAAACCCTAATCATCCAATTTTAATAGAGGGTTGCAATGATCTGTTATAAATACAATAAGCAGCATGAATTTTCTAATACTTATGTACTATCACAAAATTAAATCCCAGCAGTCCCTTTTCAGAGATAAGGCACCATATTAGTTTAATGCTTAAAAATAAAAAACAAGGAAAAAAAAAAAAAAAAGTTCACTACTTTATAGCGGATGAAAATCCTCAAAGCAAAACTGTAGAAAATGCTAACACTTCTGTTTCAGGTTTTTTCATAACTTGAACATGCGTCTTGTAAGGCAACTGTAAATAAATAAAATACATTTTCTTTTCACATGCTTCCAACAGACTCTTCCTTCTTACAATCTCCAGGAATGACAAAAAGTATAACAAACAGCAACACAATCAGGCACTCTAATCAGGGCATACTACATTTTAATGCATTAAATAGTATCGTAATGCTAAATGTTCATAGAATCAAAAAGCACTCATTTTCCCCCACACACAAAACACCCTTTTGCAGAGGATCCGTGAGAAATCTCCCATCCTGGTGAAATTATTTCACATTCATCTACGGAAGCAATTGGAGATATAACTGAAAAGTTTCTCAAATACTATAAAAAGCTCTAGCAGATGCAAGACTGATCTAAAAACTTGTGCATTTTGCATGATCAACAGTCAAAACAAAAAGGTGTTATCAAGGGACACGTGTCTGTTTTTGCAAGATGAATCCCTTGTTCCATGAAAATGACAGTTTTCCCAGAAACGTACAATATAAAAATAAGAAATTCGGGATAGGTTGAGTGTCTTGTTGGTGTCCTTCTTAGTATAAAAGCACCCACATGCTCCAAAAGTTCAAGGCAATGAAAGAATAATAATAATAAAAATAAAAAAAAGTCCCACTTTGAAAACGCTTCATTTCCTCGGTTTAATAAAAGTTGGAAGAGCTCCTCTAGCTGTAAGTCCTTCAAAACGTTTATATGTGTAGTTAATAAAGACCCAATCCTTGTTTTTGAAATCTGTATCAGGATGGCTGCTTGCAACACCTAAAAACCATAATGAAGATTGACATTTTAATCAGATATGCTTATATTTTCTGCTGAAGAAAAACAATATAGTACACTATAATAGGACCTTTTCTATTACATACTATCACCTATTTTGTCCTATATAAAACAGGAGAAAAAAACAAAAACCACACCTAACATTTTTAATGCTAACCATCAAATTACCAAGTTCACTAAACTGCAAAATATGGTCTAATTGAATAACACAGAATTGGTTAAATTAGTTAATTGGTAATTAGTTAATTGGTTAAAGTACACCATATTTACTAGCATAGACAAATTCTTGCTAGCATAGCTCCATTTTTAGGTAATGGGAAACTATAATCACCAAAACAACTTTAGCTTGCCTCTGAAGTTTTACTGCTCAATACACTGCCATTTAGGAATAAAATCACTTTTCTTCCTGTTCATGCAGTCCTAGCCACACCTCCCCTGGCTGTGACTGAAACAGCCTGCATGAAAACAAGATGGTTTCATTTTAAATCAGATGTAACTTACTTTTAAATTATTATTATTTTTTTTTTTAATCTCTTCTCCTGCTCTGTAATTGTACTTTAATTACATACAGGAGGCTCCTGCAGGGCCTAGCAAGCTATTAATAGAGTAGGAGATACATTCAAAATTAAATGGAATTTGCATTAAAAGAACTGTGTGGCTAGGGCTGCATAAACATGAGACTGCATGGGGCATGATCTATACACAAAAACTACTTAATTAAGCTAAAGCTGTTTTGGTAAATATAGTGTCCCTTTAATATTGATGTCATCCCTTTAAAAAACAAAGATGTGTCAGGACTGTCAAAATAAAGACATTACAAAACCTTTGTCCTACAGGAGAAAATGTATTTTTTATAATTTTTTTTTTTTTTTTTACCATTGGACAGCTTCCTCTGTGAGAACATCACATACATGCAGAACTGCTGAAGAAGGCTCACAAGCTTTCAAATTCTATTGGTTGGAATGGCCGAGTCAATAACTATATGGCAGCTTTATAGCACACCTGAAGTCTGTGGATAGTTAATACAATGTTAAACAAAATTCTACACAACAGTCAAGCCATAAGACTTGCTTTTCCCACAGGAATCACAAATTTGCAGTGATGTTACTACCGCAAAGGATTCTGGGCGGGAATATGCAAATAAGTTAAACAAAGAATCACATTCATGCCTCATTCTATTTTAAGCATGGATTCCTTGCTTAAAATGGAATTCACTGGCTTTGTATCTTTTTCTAAGTTGTGTTTCAAAGCTGTTGCATACAGCAAACACAGACTCATTGGAATCCATGTTCAAAATGAAACGAGGCAAAAATGGGATTCTTTGTTAAACTAACTTGCATATCCCCACCCAGAATCCTTTGCGGTAGTAACATCACTGCAAATTTGTGATTCCGGTGGGAAAAACAAGTCTTATGGCTTGACTGGTGTGCATATTTTTAGCATTGTATTGTTTTAAAAAAAAAAATATATATATATAGTGATGTGTACTATAGTCATTGCTGCCGCCCAGGAGTAATGGGAGTTTAAGCGCAGGACTAGTTTTTTAGTATTTGTATTCACTTTTGTATCACACAGCTAGGTTGCAATACTGCTGCCCATCCCATGTGTTCCCTATTAAGGGTTAATAAGCATGTAGGGATGTATAGAAAAAATACCCCTGTGTCAGAGATATTTTTGCCAGAAGCTCAAGGAAGCAAGGCGAATGGTTAGAGTTAGGACCCACCTAAGAGGTCTGCCCTGATGTGGCAGGTGGGCATACTCTCTCATGGCCATTGGAGGTAACTAAAAACCTCCATTTGTTTATAAATATATAGGGATGTGGAAAGAGAGCAGGTAACCTTTTACTATATGTATTTTGGCTCATGTGTACTATAGTCATTGCTGCCTCCCAGGAGTGGTGGAGTGTGTGTGTGAGTAAAAAGAGATAATACTTTAAAGAGTTATTTTTCTAATGAGATTACTACATACACTCAACAATTCATTTAGGACCAAAAATATGTGCAATGTATTGCAAACAAATGAGTTAAAAATAAATCTTCTATATTCAATAACTTTATGACACAGGGATTATTTGGTTGGTTTATCTCTGTTGAATAGTATCAATAAGGCTTAAGAGTGTTTGAAATATTAAGCCTTATTTGAACTTAACTTAAAATCCACCCTACTTTCATCTTGCAGAATGAGGGCAATCTAAGGTTATATAACTATCAGATAATAAAAAAAAAACACCAAAGATCTATTTCCATTTCAGAAGACCTACAAATTTAAAGTGATAGGGAAAAAAAAGATGGATACAGATCAAACAAATTGGGAAAAGTGTTGGATAGATAGATAGATATATAGATATATATCTATATCTATATATTGTGCGTGTCATTTAATTTAGAGGATTTAATTTAGAGGATTGTTCGGTTAATGAATGCAGCGACCATAAACCCTTTGAAGGGCCAAGTCCAAGGTCGATGGGGGACAACAAGACCGCCAAGATTCCTAGAACAATGTTTGAATTGTACAAAACTATGTCTAGATAAATTCTTAATGAACAGTTACACCATGCCCGATTTGTAACCCCACTATGATTTTATATTCTTTGATGAACAATATTTCATGTTCTAATGCTATTACATGCACTGGTTTAAAAATTCAATACAAATCATTTATTTATTTTTAAAGTGCCCCAAAATTTGTATTTATCAGTATAACGTGATAAATCACCCCCTTTTGAACACAATATAGACTACATATCTAATACTGCTAGATCACAACTCTAAAAACTTCTCTTCAACTTACCCATGGGTTTAAGAATATCAGATTCTGGAAATTCATCGAAGTTCGAAGTGTCGTCAATGCTTTTTATTTCAATAGGAATTGCAGCTGGTCTTTCCCTAAACGGAGTGAAAACAAAGGGAAAAAAATTAAAATAAAATATCAACAGAAAGGACTAAAATATTGATAAAGTATATATATATATATACATATATACATACACGAAAGTTCTACATAGGAACTGAAACGTTGATATTTTGTGGCTGTCGCTGAATAAAGTTATTTTTTCACCATATCTTTGAAGTCCTGGGAGTGCTATTGTCCACCATTTTTGTTCTAATTACATTGCCAATAAGCACCGGGATGAATTTTGCTTCAACAGGAGTGCAAGCATTTGGACATACATATACACACATACACACATATATATACATATATATATATATCATATAATGTAACTAAACCCCCATTATTTTTGCCTAGATTAGGCGTTTAAAAAAAAAAAAAACAAACTAATAAAATCTTTCAACTTTGAAGTTGCTGTTTAGTGGATAGGTGAGTGCGCTGGATCTTGTGTTTTGTATTATTTGGCCCCCAGCAGCACCCCCATTTATGCATGTTCAGGTGAGTGCAGCCAACCCCCCTTGTTTTATATATATACACACACATATATATATACATATACACACACACACATATGTAGGTATAGTGGCACTCACCCTTTCATGTAGTCTAAGTATGAAAACTTATGGTCGAAACTTCGATCGGATTTATGTAATTGTATTGGATATTAAATACCAATAATTTTTTCTAAAGACCACAGAGTGCATCTCTTTTCCATTAAAATATATATATATATATATATATATATATATATATATATATATATATATATATATATATATATATATATATATATATACACACACACACACACACACATATATATACACATATACATACACACACTTGACACAGTGAACAAACAAACATAGGAAAGGAATGGTGATGACAAGGAGATTTTTTTTTTCTTTTTCTTAAAACTGCTATGCTATATCACGTAAACTGTTCTTGCGCCGCAAACAGCCTTTTTTCTAAAACATTGTTTTTTCTTTATTTATATGTTACATGGATATGCACCATTCACACCTATATGTTTTAGGAAACAGGAACGGCTAGTGCTGTATTCAGAAGCTATTGCCAAGGTTCTTCTACAGATTAGCAGCAATTTCTGTTCACTGTACCACTCCTCAGAATGCGTTGGGGCACCATAAACGCATTTCATACTATTTACACAATACATTCATATAGGTATTGGGCTTTTGGCTTTTACTTTAAACTTATTTTTTATTTATTTAATATATACAGACATGAAGAGTGGACAAGCATAACTCCTCCTGGGTGCACAATAAATTTTGAGCAGTACAGTTGGAGAGACATCTAGTAGTGGATATTTGAAAAACAATTAACCCTGCCTGCTGTAAACATAGTTTAATCCAACCTCTAGTGGCTGTCTCATTGACAGCCACTAGAGGCGCTTCCCACTGTGAAAATCATTGAGAATGCTTTCCTATGAGACTGGCTGAATGCGCGCGTGGCTCGTGCCGCGCATGCGCAGCCAGCCAATGACGGGAAAGGAGGAGGAGAATCCCCAGCGCCGGGGAGCCAGAGTATGTTTTCCTGGCACGACAGTGGTCCTTTAAGATCTTTTT